CCCCCCCCCCCCCGCCCAGTAAGAGGAACCACTTCTTACATAACACATTATCTCCTGTCATACTGTTTCACCTCAATACCCTAAAAGGCACCACAAAAGCTCCAGCTGGACCTTTTGAGATTGAACACCCTAAAAGGTACCAACACTGCTTTTTTTAACCCCTAAAAGGTATGCAAGCACCCCTGGCCTTTTTATGTGGATGTCCTCCCCCAGGATCAGCCGTCTACTCCAATAGTAGAACTACAGGCCAGTACCTCAAAAGTTTTTGACCACCCTAGTCGTGATTATAACATTACAAATATTGGTGCAAAATAAATAATACTTACTACCCTCAGTTGCAATTAAATTGATTCTATAAATAGTTCTAAATAACATTAATCCATTACATTATCAATACTTCCTCCAGTGGAACTCGTGGACTTTGGCTTCTTAGGACTGGTGAACGGACTCATCTTGATGTCCTTATCGCTGCCACTCAAACTCAAGTTGCTGTCCTCATCACCTTGGTGTTTAATGTAGAATTTCTTCAACAGCTGCATTCGTTTCACAGGGCTCCCAGCCAGGTAGCTGTTTTTGATGAACTGTGGCGCAGAGCCTTTCAGCTTCATCTGGGTGATGATGGTGACAGTGGAGGACTGGGAACCATCCCCAACTGGTCGTATTATTGTGCCTGAAAGGATGGTCTCAGCCCTGTGGGCAATACAACATGCACACATGAACACACCTTTTCTTTGATTCTGCAGCTTGAGGACACCTAAATTTTACAGACAGTTCACCTCCTTCCAGAGAATCCCTTCATATACCCTAAATCCTCTAATTTGCATCTGGAGCACTTTTTTAAAATTTAGGAGAAGACCAGGGCACTCATTTGAGGGAGACATTTACACGAGGCAGGTGCTTAATTAATTTTTCCCAGATATGATGGGTTTTTTGTAATGCATGTATGTGTCAGCCTCTTAGAAGTCTAAGAAGAATCTTCTCTCTCTTGAAGAACAACGCAATATAACCCCTTTAGCTGATCTAGACCTGCTGCACATTAGTTAGGCTTTAGGGCAATGAATCAGCAGATCTTCACTACTATCCGTTGCCACAGTCAATGCGCAGTACTTGAATGAGTCAATAATCATTTGCTTGTGATTGAACATAACCCAAACTATACATCCTTTGTTGTCTCAGTGCTTGTCTATGTAACAGGGGGAGGGGAGGGGGTGTGTATTCAAGGGGAGCCCCCTATTATAAATTACATGTAGGAGGGGCGTTTATTGGAAGGGCATGCTTATTCAAGGGGAGGCACTAATTCAAGGATTTATGGTACTACTACATCTATGTCAACTTTACTCAAACATCGGTACAATTCCAATTCTAAACTCCACACTGGCAGAACAAAATTCTCTTACTGGCAAAGTCAAGGTCACACAACAAACAAGGATGATTTCTTGTCATAATTTGTGAAATTAATGATTCTGATAAAACAGGAGATAAACTTGAAAAAAGACGGGGCCTAGTAATTAATATGTAATGTGACTGTCTAGTACCAAACTAATCATAAAAGTATACAAAAATTTAATGCAATCCAAGTTTATCTTCTCCAATTTTTCCCATATTTGACTACACATGGTCCTTGCCCAATGGTAGCTTTCCTGGGTTTGTTTTGAGTTCCTCAACAGTGTTAAGCTGTTATTGAGTTCCTTCA